GTCACATGACATGTGGAAGTATAAATACATTATGTGTAGCCTAGCGATCCACATTAGAAAGTCTACAATACAACTTCATTACAATCATTGTGACATGACCCCTCCCTTAGCAAATCCCAATACAGTACCGCAAAAAGATGATGAGACAGACCTTCTTCCAACCCCTCCTTCGAGTGCCCCGCGCTGCGTTTTCTTCCTCCTCTTCCTCATTTTCAACTTCGTCTTCCTGCCTTCGACCTTCAATCTTCCCAAAGGCATCATCAACCTTCTCTTCTACTCCAGCAAGCCAATCGTCCATTCGATTCTTTTCCGCAACCTCAGTCAATATGTCTGGCAACATTAAGGTGTAAGTCTTACCTTCATCCTCAAGTTCCAACTTATTACTATAGTCTTTTATTTTCGGATGGAGCTAACCCATCATCCAGCTTCTTTGATTTGGAGTGGGAGGGTCCCGTCCTAGAGAATGGCAGACCTACTGCTACTGTGAAGAGTAAGTTGAATCCCATCCCGGCAATTCTGCCAAAGCTTCTGCCATCTCGATAAGCTCTATCTTCTACGCATTAGAGCCGTCTATATTATTCATATCTTCATTAGGAAGCTCAATTGGTTTCTAAAGCACTATTAAGCACCGTACTTCTTATTTATCATTAGCTGTTTAGAGTGCTGACACATTATCTACTTCATAGCCCAGACCGGTCGTGTCAACCTGGAGCTCTGGAAGTCCCAGGTACCCAAGACCGTCGAGAACTTCCGTGCTCTCTGCACCGGCGAGAAGGGCTTCGGTTACAAGGGCTCGTCCTTCCACCGTATCATCCCCGAGTTCATGCTTCAGGGCGGTGACTTCACTCGTGGCAACGTACGTCGACTTCCTCTCAATACCATCGTAGTCCGCTTTTGAGCCGACTTCTAACTACACAACAGGGCACTGGTGGCAAGTCCATCTATGGCGAGAAGTTTGCCGACGAGAACCTCGACCTTAAGCACACTCACCCGTACACCTTGTCCATGGCTAACGCCGGCCCCAACACGTAAGTTTTATTTACGCTGCTGTGCCTTTCCATTTTGTATTCCCTTAGCTATCATCTCCTAACTAATGTATCTTGTATTTAGCAACGGCTCTCAGTTCTTCATCACCACTGTCAAGACAAGCTGGCTAGACGGCCGCCACGTCCCCTTCGGTGTCGTTGCGGACGATGAATCCATAGCTATTGTTAAGGCTATCGAGGCTACTGGCTCCCAGAGCGGTGCTATCAAGTACAGCAAGCGACCTACCATCGTCAACTCAGGAGAGCTTGCCTAAAGGAAAAGATGACAACTTTTTCATCTTTACTGCGTGTAACATTTCTATTTGGCCCACGATGCTGCCAACTTGCCTCCTCTCAAGTATTGGTGTGGGCCATACAAAAAGGCATAAGGAAACTCAGGGAGGGCCAATTTGCGAGACACCTCAATAAGCAATTCGTTAGACGCTAGGTAGTTGCCAATAACATGTCTTGCTTCAAATTATCTATATCTAGCCTAAGTTTGGTGATACGTCGTTGTAATTGTAGCCTGACTGTCCTAGCCGTACTAATCAGCATCGGTGTCATTGTCCGGATCTGGCAAAACTCTCCCGATATTTTTCTCGTCCTTAGTTGTGACACATGTATTTTCCCCGCCATCAAACGCCGTGCTATGCTATGTCGGAAAGCAAAAACGCCACTTTTACCTTGAGTATACATTATACCTTATAATAACCATTTGTCAAAATATTCACACCCTCCCGCCCATACGGGACCACCTTCTTCGCACAGTTCAAAGACAGGGCATTTGCCGCAAGGCACGGTTGTCAAGCCATTGGTTCTCGGCTCCCAGAAATCTTCGCTGTCTAGTTTGACCATGTCCGGATGTTGCTTAGACACACGCACGGCCCTATAGCCAACTCGGTCACCAGTCTTGACCTCCTCAATCCTGTTCTCCCAGATGAGAATGTCGATAAGCTCCTGAACGTGTTCGGTCTTCAGCGGCTGTCCTTTGGCTATGTGCATGGAGACGATTTCTGCCGTAATCTCCTCGGCCGTGGGGTAGCCCATATAACCCGCAGGTAGAGGGAGGCGGAGGGCTCCGCGGACCTTAGGTGCTGGAGCTGTAGGGCGTGTACTATCTTCTTTAGACATTGCGTCTGCGGAACGTTTCTTGCTCTTCATCGCGGCCTCGGATAAACCGCCTCTTATTACGCCCTTCTTCGGCAGGACTGGACTCACGCTTCGAACGCCTCGTTCTCCCGTACTTCGATAGCTACCCCTATCCTTTATAATGCGCACCACCACAGCCTGCAAGGTGTCGATGAAGGCCTCGTCGAGATATTGATCAGTGTACCAGGGGCCGCCTGTTGCGCGGGCAGAGGGCTGCATGTTGAACTTGATCCACATCTTCTTGGACATGTTCTCGACGGTGGTAAACTGCTGGATGAAGCGCTTGGTCTCCAGCTCCTTGAGAGCCTTTCGCAATGCATTGTCTTGAAGGTTAAGGCGCTTCTTTATGTCCTGCTGCCATGCGCCCTCAGCACCGGCCGAGTCGATGATTTCGTAGACTAGGACCTGGTCCTCGGAGGTGAGGTGCTTATACCTGTCGAGAAAAGATTAGATGGCGATTAAAAATTAAAAGGAAGAAGACTTTACTTACTTGGCCGCCTCGGCCTCGGGACGGAGTCGCCATGCTAGGCCACTGTGGAAGTGGACGGGGACGAAAAGGCGCTCCCGCGTCAGAAGTTGTATGATTTGTAGGAGCTTCTTTACATCTTTGGGCGGGACGACATCGAGTGCCATTAGTTCCTCCTGAGAGAAAAATCTCTCGGGATTATCTCTGCACGCATCTTCGCAGGCGGAATAGAGCTGAGTTTTGAGTATCGAGGTCTGGTCGTCCATTTTGAAGGGTTGTTGAATTGTGACTCATATGTTAATAATGAATTGGTGATTGGTGATAAGTTCAGTAAGAATTTAAAAAAACGCGCCAAGCTAAAGCGTACCTAATTCCAAAAAATTAAGAAAGGATCGAGGTACATAGTTGCTTAACGCGCTTCTACCTAATACGTCTAAAATGAAGGACTTTATGTATGTGAGGCTAGGTACGGAAAAGTAAAAATTGTAGGTAAAAATATATGTATCTAAGATCAATTGAATCAAGACGACGTGCCCCGCGCAACCAAAGGAAATATTTCTTATCTCTCTTTGGTCGCGCTTGCCTACCAGGTAGATAGATGTACCTGGGTAGGTACTTCCTAGCAGTGTTAGCGCGATACGCCGATACGGATTACAACTGATACGCTATCGCTATCGCTATCGACAAGCAGGACGCAGCTTTCCGTCAGGGACCTCAATACCCCACCGTAGAAAGCTCTCGAATTCATCGCATTCAGCCCTAAAAAGATCAAAGTCCCAATGGTTCCATTCCAAAGCTTGGGCATTGCAACTTACATATAACTTCTGCTTGACGACCATTTCTTCTCTGTCCACAAGTTTCGGTTTACACGCGTAAGAATTTTCTCAAGTTCATAAATTATTCGTCCAAGTTAAAACACAACAACAACTGCGTTTGGAGAAAGGTAGCATCAACCCACCATGGCCTCTGTAGACGAGCTTAAAGCTCTGGGCAACAAGGCTATTGCCGACAAGAAGTTTGACGAGGCTATGTAGGTTTTTATGTCCCTATGATATTGATCTTTTTAACTTTACAACCCAAATTTCCAAGAATTAGTTGAGACTCCTAGACTAACAGTTCTACTAGTGATGCCTTCACCAAGGCTATTTCCATCGACCCAAACAACCACATTCTTTACAGCAACCGATCTGCTGCTTACGCTTCTAAGAAGGACTGGAAAAATGCTCTAAGTGATGCTGAGAAGACAACCCAGATTAAGCCAGACTGGCCGCGAGGATGGGGTCGCAAGGGCGCAGCCCTGCATGGTTCTGGCGACCTTCTGGGTGCCAGTGACGCCTACGAGGAGGGTCTCAAGCACGATCCTAACAACGCCGGTCTAAAAAGTTCTCTTGCCTCCGTCCAGCGAGCGATAGAGCAAGAAGCCGGTATGTAAATACCCACACCCTGTTTCATCTTCCCTTCAAACATATATCCTCGTACGTTTTTTTATATACTAACTCCCTATAGGCGCCGGTCTCGGTGGTGATCCTACAGGTGGACTCGGCAAGATGTTTAGCGACCCTAATCTCCTCCAGAAGCTGATGAACAATCCTAAGACCAGCGGTTTCCTTGCTGATCCATCCTTCATCGCAAAGATCCAGGCCATACAGCAGAATCCCCAGAACACGCAGGAATTGTTCAGCGATCCTCGAATGATCCAGGTATTAGGAGTTCTGATGGGCATCGACATGCAAATGGGAGGCCCGGATGACATCCCAGGTGCTGCCTCTGCCGCTGCCGCCTCTTCATCTGGCGCTAAGGAGGCAGAGGAGGACGTTGAAATGCGGGACCGTACTCCAGCTGAGTCCGAATCCCAATCCAAACCAGAGCCTGCCAAGGCCCCCGAGCCTGAGCCTGAGCCAGAGCCAGAAGTGGATGAGGAAGAGCTCGCCAAGAAAAAGGCAAAGGAAGAGGCCGACAAGGAAAAGGCACTGGGTACTGAAAACTACAAAAAGCGTAACTTTGACGAGGCTATAAAGCACTATACTAAGGCTTGGGAATTGCACAAGGACATAGCCTATCTCAACAACCTTGGCGCCGCTCAATTCGAAAAGGGCGACTACCAAGCCTGCATCGATGCTTGCACTAAGGCTATCGAAGAGGGCCGCCAGATATATGCCGACTTCAAGATGATTGCCAAGTCATATGCGCGCATTGGTACAGCCTACGAGAAGCTAGGAGACCTTACAGCGGCGATTGAAAATTACCAGAAGTCCCTGACCGAGTATCGAACACCCGATACTGTAAATAAGCTCCGCGCTGCCGAGCGTAGAAAGATCGAGGAAACTAGGAAGTCTTACATAGACCCGGAGAAGGCCGAGGAAGCTCGCGAGGAAGGTAATAAGAAGTTCAAGGAGCAAGATTTCCCCGGTGCTGTTGCGGCTTACTCGGAGATGATCAAGCGTGCTCCGGATGATCCTCGTGGATATAGCAACCGCGCCGCCGCCTTTGTCAAGCTGTTCGAGTTTCCAAGCGCTCTCGAGGACTGCAACACGGCTATCAAGAAGGACCCCAAGTTCATTAGGGCGTATATTCGCAAGGCGCAAATTTACTTCGGCATGCGCGACTACTCCAGGTGTATCGACGCTTGCAACGAGGCTGCTACGGTAGATAGCGAGTATCACAACAACGCCAACGCGCGGGAGATTGAGCAGCAGCAGCAGAAGGCTCTGCAGGCTATGTACGCTGCCCGAGAGAATGAGACAGAGGATCAGACTCGGGAGAGATTGATGAAAGACCCCGAGGTAAGTACAGAATGCACCCCCATCGCTTCGGACAGAATAGGGACGGCTAACCCTTGCATCTTAGATCATGAGCATCATGCAAGACCCTGTCATGCAATCTATCCTCCAGCAAGCCCAGTCCGACCCCGCGGCGCTGCAGGAGCACATGCGCAACCCGAACGTTCGTTCTAATATCCAGAAACTGATTGCGGCCGGTGTGATTCGAGTTGGACGATGAGCGTTAGCGTAGTGATGTCTTATTTTTCTACTTAAGCTACTTTATCTCATTAATTTTCACAATGGTTAGGTTGGTGGTTCGTTGGCTGTAGTAGCATGTAAGGGCATCGCGGAGCCGTAGGTACTCATGGTAATTGCAATTCACGATACTGGCGTTGAAAAATGCAAAGGGTGGATTAGGGAATGAGGGTAAATGAATTTACGCTAATCAACGATTCCAACATCCTTATAGTTGTCACTAAGCTTTATAGCTTTGTAGTCTTCGTGATCCGTTACAGTTCCTTAAGAATGGATGCCTTCACTTGACGATATTCGTAAGCATCACTTCTGATAGTTAACGCCAACTTTAGTACATGCGTTTGGATGTTAGTATTAAGATATACTAATTATACGAAGTAAATGGTCCTTTATCATACATACATGCCTCTACTTAATCTATATTAAACCTCAAGTCCGCATTGTTATCTATTCCGGAAGTCCGGCTTCTGCTATTCTGATAGCTCAACTAATAGTTGGTCAGAATATTTCCCACCCTAACTCAGTCCTTCAGTATTACACCGATCTCGTTCGTATGGATTCCATAGGGCTTAACCATGACAACCAGTAACGCCTTTACCACCATCAAGGCTGGCCACACTGCCACCCCTTTTATAGTGATAATATTAGCGTCCGATGCTTAGGATTGGCTCCAGTCAAGCCTTAAGATGTTCTACTCACCGAGGGTCTATATGTTCCCATTGCATTATGAAGAACCCTATGAAAGCGCCGAGGATGATGCAGATGATTACGTATCCGTTGTAGTACATAGCAAGCAGCATGATCCAATAAGCTAGAGCAAAATGAATCGTATGCAGCGAAGCACGGATGGCCTGTTGCCAGAGCTTAGGCCTAAACGGTGTGGCACGGACGAGCGCCGTAGTGCCTTCTTTTGCCATGAGAGCCCCGTTAGCCGTATCCGAGGAGTTGTTCACGGTCGTCGCGGCGAGGGCGCTGGTCGCTTTTACGTGCTGATGGATCAAGTGCTGGTCGTAGATCTTAGAGGCGCGGCGTAGAAACTCGAGCAAGATCACGAGCAGCACGACTCCAATGCATAGGCCTGCAAATCCGCCGCGGGACTTGACTTGCCAGGATTCCGAGAGAAAGCAGGCGTCGATCGTTTCCCAATTCCAAAGCATCTGATGCTCGTCGTTTGTTAGCGAGGTTGAACGGACTAGGTAAGGTACCTAATACAACTCGTCGTATTGGAAGTGAATATCTCACAGAGATCTTACATTCCCCCGTTTGCGATTCCCTATCTCCCATGCCCCCCATGCTGCTACCCATGTTATCCGCGCCTCCTGCGCTTGTCGTGGAGGTCGGCATTGCAGAAGCAAACGTTGATTGTACCGTGGATGAGACCGAAGACTCTATAGATGATGGCATAGACATCCCGTCCATTTTTTTTTTTTTTTTGGCTGGTGGCTAGTAAGTATAGTATTATCAGTCAGAATGAATCTGGTAACTAGTTATTTGTAGAATAGTAGTAACAGTTAACACCTATAAAAAATAAAAAAATAAATCAGCCTCAAGAATTGCAAAATGACCGTCAAGTACGTACGGTCTGAGCCTATACCTACCTATTTAATTCTTTGTCACGGATACTCGACTTGTTCTTGACACTCGACGATCGCCATAGGCAACAAAGGGGCTAATTTGCCGTAAGTAACGTACTAAACCTACCGAGGCCTTCGATATGTTGGGACAAAAGCTTTCGCCTCCTTATTGCGTATCGAGTTGGGTCTAGATAAAAGAATCTAACGTCAACCAAAAGGTAACTATTTGCCTTGCCAGAACGCAAAAGTCTCTCATGAAGTTGCCTCAATTTCTATGATGTTATACACAAAGACGGTGTACTCCACAATTGCTACAATACACTGCTTGTAGAAAATGGGAAAATGCTATTTTGGGTTTCTTAGTTTTCAAGCTCATAACCTCCCTTTTCACGGCGGTCTGTCTCCGCTTCCATGTCGGCCTATCTCTATATCCAACCGTAGTTGCAACAGTAACAACTACCTACAAACTTGGTGAAGCTGAGGTTGACAAAACTGAGGTTCGGAGCCATCAGAATTCCAGTAGCTCCAGCAGATACTCCAATGCATGGTACCGTTTTACCAATTATTCAAAATAATTATATGCCATACTTTTGAAGTTGATTCACAAGACTGCGGAGTGTACTTATCAAGGTATATAAATCTGAGTATAAGGGGCGTATTACTCTATCAATCACACATCAACTCAGCAACTTGTGAAGTTTTACGGGGGCTCCAGACCGTCCATAACAACCGTACCATAGTCACCCGGTCCATCAAAGAAATTCTGATCCATGCCTGGTCCTTCGAAGAAGTCGCTCGCCCACCAAGCGCTAGGACTCCACTCCTCGAGCGAAAATTGGGCGGAGACGTTCATCCCTGAAGGCATAGGAGGCCAATTTCCTCCCATACCATTACCGTTGCCGAGATCGACCTCTTTAGCAATGTTGGCATTTGATGACAGCTCAGGCCGACGACCCTCGCCACCTACGGCGGCTACCATCTCGGCCCATTTCTCCAGCTTAACGCGAGTGCTCTTGAGTTTCCTCGCGGCCATGTCCCATATATCATTCTCGCAAGGTAAGCCCCTCTGTTTTTCGCAGGCCTCCTGTGCCTGCTCGCATCGCGTTACCATGCCTTGCAAGATACCAGTAGCATCTATCCGGAGCTCGGACTGAGAGAGTAGGTGAGACCTAATAGTACGTACTGCGGCGGGAATTGCGGGATCTAGATCTATGTCTTTGACCCCGACCGTCGGCACGGAGACCAGAGCCGCACCGCTACAACCTGGATCACTTCGTACCATCTGTGGTAATACAGAACTCGTCGCCGTGGTCGGGGTAGATGTAAAACTGCGGTCGGGGCTCGTCAGCTTAGACCAGCGGACCAGCATTATTACAGAATTGATGAGCTGAGCTGAGATGGGCATAGGTAAGACAAAGTAATCCGCGACGTCAATAGCTAGCCAAGCTTCGAACCAGGCCTTGAGCGCGGTGCCAGATCGATAAAAGACATCGAGTGAAGAAGCAGAATCTAGAGTTAGAGATGATAACGAGTTCGAAATCTTTTCGAGGAGTGTAGCATCAATTCGCGGCGGTTCCCATAAGCGTAAAGAGGCCGTATTGATATGACACATGAGCAGCTCTATCTTTTAGTTAATTTCACGTTTTTCCTTTGAAACTATCATGAGTAGGAAACTAACTGTTTGATAAGAGATGACGAGGTAGTGATGCCTTAAAGTTTTCTATCTCCGAGTGAAACACGCTGGAATATGCACTCATAGGGGCACGGGTAATACCGGCCAATTCGCTCTCGTCGTGGTCTTTCGCGTGTAGTTGAGAGATACGCTCAGACATGTGTTGGATTCGCACCAGATGGACGAGGAGCGAATCAGTTCCATACTCCTGTTCGGCCTCGAGCTCCCGAAGACATTGATCTATGTACGGCGTGTATTTCGGCGGCTCGATCCGTTGAAAGGAGAGCGAGACACTGTTGTGTGTGAGCATGATCGAGTACATTAGAGGAATATATCTTACCCGCAACCTCCCCGAGTTGCTGGGTCAAGCAAGAGTAGCTGTTCATTTTGACTTACACCGAGGTCATATACCAGACTCCGCAGAGTGCCCTTCTCTCGTCATTCACCCTGCTTTTCGGGGCTTCGGGACTTGAAATTAATAACTTCGTCTTTTCCTGTAATTCGGGAGGCTTGTTGATGCCGAGGTCTGCTACTAAACTGTTTGCTAGTGCGATCAAATTGTTCATCTGAGCGTGCATTATACAGTGGTAGTGATAATATCCCACGACCAAGAGAATTGATTGGAGTATTTCCAGAGACCGCTCTGAACGCATAAGCATCTGCTCGGATATGTGTCTCATTATGAAGTAGTTCTGTGACCTCAGCGAACTTAGGTTACGATAAGACGCGATCATTCGAACTGTTGCGAAGAGGAAAGGATACTTTAATGCTAATTCCGAAGCCGTAAAGCCTGGTGGAAGTACGACAAACGGGTAATTAGGGACAAGCTCGTTGACGAATATCGACAATAAGACCTCGTCGGACTCAAGCGAAGCAGGGCTCTCGCCGGCTTGAGTACGGCAGACACATACACGAGGGGCATGTTCATTGTAATAATCAGGAATTGCAGGCGGCCGCTCATAATTTGAGCCTGAAGATTGACTCGGAGAATTGGTGCTAATTCGTTTTCGGCTTTGTATTGGCGTCGCATCTTCGGTCGCCTCTGGGGACGATGTAGACGTAGTGGATTTGGCTCCAGAAACCTGCCTTAACGGAACAGGGACATCTCCTGAATTAGTAGCTTTAATGAAATCGACGAGGCTATTGAGTCTCTCCTCGAGCTGTGCTGTCTTTCTAGAGTAAAATATAGACCGTTAGCCTTTGCCTTTACGTGTGGATTAGCTCAAAGACCTGTCTGACACTGGCGATGATCGAAGAACACACTACACACTAAGAAATGACTATTCCGATTATAAACTTCTAGAAATAAAAGAGTGCTTACGAGGGTCTGCTCTGCCGCTTTTTCCTCGGCTTATGTATCTGACTGGTACAATCTTTATCTAAACGTTCACATCTATATCCCCCAATCTACCATTAGTAAACCGACTAACATGAGAGTACACCAACACAAGGCTCTAGCCCTAAGCTTAGAATGCTATTATATGCACGAGAGAATACTCACCTATCACATCTAACGCCCGACCCGTTGCTTGAGCGCAAGCATTTAGCCTTTGCGAGAGCACATGGCGAACACGCAGCTCCCCATTTGGCGATGACGGAGTTCTTTGGTCTATCCATTAGTACTACAAAAAACAAGATAACAAATTCGATGATAGAGGTTTCAATCGCCGGCGGACTTTCAAAGTGTAAACCGCAAGCCGTGATGAGATAGCAGTCAGTGTTCGAGGATGGTCTTCAGGTATAGATGGTCCAAACGAGAGGAACGGAGATTAAAAATAATCTCCAACTTCCGGTCCCCACATATGACCCAAGATGTTCTTACTACTAAGCTCATGTTAGTCAAGATAACCTAGATTGGCATAGCTAGGCTAACATAAACGTGGGAGAGATAGGTATATGTGACCTACCATGATGCACTACCCAACCCGGACTTTTAGGGAAAAGGCCGGCTCGCCGAAATGTGTGGTTCACGTTCAGTCATTACAACATCGTACCTTGGCGTCTTCAAGCGGTTATCGGTTATCTTAAATGCTCACGTTATAATCCTTATTATTCGTGGAAAGTCAATTGTATAAATTGGTTTTAATATGTCCCGATACGACTTTTTAGAGCTGCAACTCGAGGCTGATATATCTCGGCCAGGGGTGGCCAGCTAGAGACTAGTTAACGACGACTTACACGAACTTTGCTCAGTACTTAACGATGAATCACCAACAGTCAGTCAAAACTAGTTCGGATACTGGAGATGTTGAATCCGCGATCAAAGTCGACAGTCCCAAACTCGAATATGACAAGATTGACAACGGGGAACATGGCGGTGACGACGTTGGCGTAGTTCCCCAAAATGACGACCAAACAGGAAGCGGGAGTACCAGTCCTCCGCAAATGAGCGGATTGCCCTTTTACGTGGCGATGGGATCCATTACTCTAGGCGTTCTCTTGATGGCTCTCAACAATACGGCTCTAGGAACTGTGAGGAAGACGCTGCGACATTCTTGATCATGTATATGCTTACACTTCTACTAGGCCATCCCCGCAATCACAGCAGAGTTTAATACCGTGGATGACGTTGGGTGGTATTCTTCGGCGTCTCTAATAGCAAAGTGAGTTTGGAACTCGAGAGTGTAACGCGTTTGACAGTACGAGGCTGACAGGTCCGGCGAAGCTGTGTCATGGTACCGTTCGTTGGGAAAATATATAAGAGCTTTCGGATCAAGCTCGTATTTATTACCTTCATAATTATCTTCGAGATTGGATCCTTGATTGCAGCGCTATCGACGTCTTCCATGATGCTCGTCATCTCCAGAGCGATAAGCGGCATAGGGGGTTCCGGGATTCTCAACGGTAGTTCTACGATCATCGCCGCCACCGTCCCGATAGCGAAGCGGTCGTTTCTAAACGGCATCATACTTGGTTGTTTTGCCGTGGGCCAGGCAGCGGGCCCTTTGATCGGCGGAGCTCTAACCCAGGGGCTAACATGGCGCTGGTGCTTCTACATGTAAGTTGGCCGTCGCTATAGTGGCGTTAATACTCGAGCTAACCCTTCATAGCAACCTGCCCCTGGGTGGCCTGGTCGTTTTCCTGTTCGTATTTGTAGTCAGGTTACCTGTAACAAGGCTCTCAGAAAAGAATACATCTCTCCTAGAGCGGGTCCTTGACCTCGATTTTGTCGGCTTTGCCATCTTTGCCGCAGCGGCTATAATGTTCCTGATCGGCCTGCAATGGGCCGGCACCAAATACCCCTGGAATTCGCCGACCGTCATCGGACTTATGTGTGGCGGAGTGGTAGCCTTTATAGTCGTCGGATTCTGGTTCGTTTACAAGGGAGATTCGGCCTTGCTGCCGCCTAGGCTACTTCGTAGCCGCATTAGCATCATGATCACCATCACCTCGTTCCTGCAAAGCGGTGGGTCCATCAATTCGTTGTATTGGCTGCCCGTCTGGTTCCAAGCGATCAGAGGCGTGGACGCTCTGCAGAGTGGTATAATGCTTCTTCCTATAATACTGTCGCAGCTCTTTGCATCCGTGGCATGCGGGGCTCTCGTTCAGAAGACGGGCTATTACCTTCCGGAAGTCGTCGGGGGGAACGCGCTGGTGGCGATCGGAGCCGGTTTGACCTCAACCTTTTCTCTAGCCACTTCTGATGGGGAAATAATAGGATATCAGATCCTCATGGGAGCAGGCCGTGGCTTTGTCTTACAACTGGTGTGTGATAACATCTATCTTTTTATAGTGCTAGGGAAGACTGACGAGTGCATTAATTTAGCTTGTCCTCGCCATGCAGGCGAACGTGCCTAGAGAAGACGCTTCGATAGCATCCGCGTACGCTATGTTCTCTCAGCTACTTGGGGGCGCCATCTTTTCGGCTGTCGCGAAGACTATCTTCACCAGTTCTATAGGAACAGCTCTCCAAAAGTTTGCTCCCGACATCGATCCGAGCTTACTGATTAACACCGGCGCGACTGAGATAGCCAAAGTTATCCCCCCGGATCAGGTAGAAGGTGCTCTCCTAGCATACAATCAAGCTATCAACTATGTATTTGTAAGAATACTCACTCTCGCATGATATCCCATTCTGACTGACACATCTATCAGTATCTTCAATTCGCTGCCGCAAGTTGTGCTTTTCTAACTGGCTGGGGAATGGGATGGAGAAATTTAAAGGAGGTGAAACAAGAGAAAGAAGTTATGGAAAAGGATGACGCTTAAGTAGCGATAGGGGCACTAGTATGAAATACCTATCAATGATAGAGAATATTTAATTGGCCGATAAGGTCCTGGAAACCTTAATTATCCTGCTTGATGAGACATGTAGGCAGTATTGCTGATCAGGTGTATACCTAATGTTTAAGCATTGGTGATAACTTGTTGAGACGTCCGCTATAAGACACCGCTAGCAAGGTTCGTCTTAGATCGTCGAACTACCTAAGTTCAGACCATAAATGGTCTAGACTCGCCTAAAATTGGTAATATGGAAGATTGCCAAGTCTGCACTGCTACTATGTACTATGTATTATTATTCAATTGGATAATCGACAAGGGGGTCTCGCTAAGAAGCTGCCTATAGTAGAAGCTTAACCTCGCGACGAGGTCAATAACAATATTGAAAGGCAAAGCGGAAAAGGCACAAAGGTTTAAATCACCGGCTTAAGATAAATATGGATGAGTACGACTTCATCATTGTCGGCGCTGGACTCTCCGGAGTCGACGCCGCTTACCGCCTGAAGACTCAGCTGCCAGACTGCTCCTACACCATTCTGGAAGCACGAAACGAGGTCGGCGGCACTTGGTCATTCTTCAAATTCCCCGGTATCCGGTCGGACTCTCAACTTACATTGTTCGGCCTTCCGTGGCGACCATGGATACACGATACGGATATGGCTAAAGCGCATCTTATCAGGGAATATATAGAGGATGCTGCACGGGCCGAAGGTATCGACAAGAAGATCCAGCTCAAGCACCAGGTCACCGGTATCAATTGGTCTTCGGAGGAACAGCGGTGGACTCTGGCGGTTAACGCAGACGGTCTCGCAAAGGAATACAAGGCTAAATTCTTGATCACCTGCTCGGGGTATTATGATTACGCCAACCCGCTCAAGGCCGAAATACCCGGCATCGAGAACTTCGAGGGCACGGTCGCGCACCCTCAGTTCTGGCCCGAGGACCTCGATTATGCTAATAAGAAAGTCGTTATCATCGGATCTGGCGCTACTGCTATCACTATGCTGCCCGCTATGGCCGAGACGGCGGGTCACGTTACGATGCTTCAAAGAAGCCCATCTTACGTTATTAGTCTGCCCCTATCGGACCCGGTCGGGAGATGGATCAGGAAGGTTTTCCCAGAGAGCATTGCTCACTCACTCAACTGGTGGCGGTCTGTATCCCCGATATCTATTCTTTTTTCCAGCTATATAAACTTACGCTCTGTAGATGTTTTATCGTGGAACATGTCTTTGTTTTCTTTTGCCTTACCTTCCCTAATCTAGCAAGGAAGCTTGTCGTACACGATATGAAGAAAGAATTACCCGCCGACATTGATGTAAACGTTCATTTCAACCCCAAGTACAACTTATTCGAACAACGAGTGGGTCTATGTCCAGATGGTGACTTTTTCCGAGCTCTACACCGAGATAACTGTGACATTGTCACCGACCATATCGAGACAGTCACGGCAGATGGCATTCTTACTAAGTCGGGGAAGAAGCTCGACGCAGACATTATCGTGACGGCCACGGGTCTTCGTAAGCATCACGTTTTCTAATGCCCTACTAAACGATTGCCCCCAAGCGCTAGGATAACTCTCCCTTTCACGTGTTCGATTATAATACTAACCTAGAGAATATCAGACGTCCACCTATTTGGAGGTATCACCCCAATCGTCGATGGACGGCCTGTGGATCTAGGAACTTGCTATGCTTGGAGAGGGGTCATGGTTACTGGTGTGCCAAATTCCGGAGCTGTGATGGGGTATACGACAAGTTCCTGGACGCTCGGTGCTGATAGCAGTATCAAGCTGCTCATCAAAGTATGGAAGCATATGCAGAAGACTGGCGCTACGTCAGTTGTGCCAGTCAACGCTCAATCCGACCTCGCCTCGTCTAAGCCGGTCGTAGGTCATAGCTCGACCTACTTTGTCATGGCGCAGAGCAGGTTGCCTAGGATCACGGGTACATCGCCGGTAAGTCTCACCTCCTATGTTCTAACTTTACTTATAAAGTGTTCATAACAATCCTACTTTATTCGTCAGTACTGATTTTTCGCTATAGTGGTATGGACGCACGAATAGCATATATGATCATCTAAAGCTATGGTTTGGTAGTGTTACAAAGGGGCTACAGTACACGTATCCATCAAAGAAGAATGACTGAGCGGTATCCTGTATACTATGTAGCTTTCAAGGCCGGTAGAGGCACTTAAATAAAATTTGCACCAAAGGCCAATAATTATATAGTAGATTGTACCTATTACATGTATATATGAGAATCCCCGCAATCACCATCTGAATATATTGTTGGAGGGGTAGGTAGTAGAATTTATCTTATCGGATCTTGCATGTCATCATTTGTCATTTTTCTAAAACTTCGTGTTTGCAAGCCTTTGATTTTTATTAATCATCTAAAAAGTTTTGTATCATTCAGAGCCTACTAACTTACCTAAGATCTCTCTACTGCCGAATAGAACAGACTTCAAACATGGCCAACTTTAGGCCCGCATTGATAGTAGTAGATCTCCAAGAGGACTTCTGTCCTCCGGTAAGTATACCTACCTTACCTGGTTAGGGCTGCTGGTAGCTAGCTGACTAACAATGATGACCAGAACGGTTCTCTTGCAGTGACCAATGGTCGCGATATCGCGCCACTGATCAATAAACTTCTAGCCTCCCCTTTCGTGATCAAGATCGCGACCAAGGATTGGCACCCGCGTGATCACGTTTCGTTTGCGGCAAATCACCAAGGCAAAGTCCCGTTTGAGGACTTGATTACGATCGTGAACCCATACAACGAGACCGAGACGTATGAGTCGCGACTATGGCCGGTTCACTGCGTACAAGGCAGCCCGGGAGCAGAGCTGATCCCTGAGCTACTCATCAGTCAGATTGACATGGTTCTCGAGAAGGGGACTGATGCGCGCGTCGAGATGTACAGCCCGTTCTACGACCCCTTCAAGTCTCCACGAGTTTACGACAGTGGCCTCGTGCAGATTCTGAAGGAGAAGCAGGTCACAGATGTGTATGTGGTGGGGCTAGCAGCAGACTATTGCGTCAAGAACGCCGCGATCGACGCGGCGAAAGAAGGCTTTAAGACTTACTTGGTGGAGGAATGCACGAGAGCCGTTGATCCTTCTGCATGGTCGGAATGCAAGAAAGAAATCGAAATATCCGGGGCTAAAGTTGTTAGCATGGACGGACATGAAGTAAGCCGACTGATGACGGCGCAGTAACAGGGTGAAGCTGAAGGGTTGCCGACGGGCGACTACTTCTATCTTGCAAGAACAGATTATCCAGCGGTGTATGTAGAAGTACGGATCCGTAGCTATTACTATAATTCTCCCTGTTTACTGACGTAGGTCCCGTCGTACGGGCGCTAGAAAACGAGGCCGGTGGCGGACCCGTTAGATTATCTATGTACCTAACCTATGTATGATTATGGCTTCTACGCGGGGGGTGGATATGCGATGGATGGTAGCACGAGGGTCGGGAAAGAATAGGTCATGTGTCTCAGTTTCGCCGTGTTGGTTTGAGACCTTCCTGTTGTATAGAAACATCTAGTATTAATGGCTAATTCCCAAGACCGCCATTGTGGTTCGCGTTAACGAGAAGCGTGGTTGTCACAACCCGCCTAGGCCTCTTTTAGTAATGGCCGAGATATTTGTACAGTACACGTAGTGTAATTTAACCACATCCTAAAGCTACTGGTATTTGTACTTATATTCTACATATGTATTTAACGATAGTAGGTAGTTTTGCTAGGGGTTTGTTGACATGTCCAGATTTCACCTTGTAATACATAATTCAACCCTGGTTGTTGAGTTGTCAAGGTATCCATACGGTGTTGTTGCTGGGGACTTAGACTCCCCCTTTGGCCATGCTGTACTATGAGGTATTATATCCCGTCCTCTTCCAACCAATTCTCTTCCGCGTAAATGCGAAGGGATGGCGTTGGCGAGGTGGATGGGATACATAGGTGGCTTGATTATCGGTCTTTTTAGGAACTGTACATAGGTCCATGAAATTGCGCTGTGCATACCCGGAGTTTTGGAATAGTTGCCAATTGAAGAAAAGAAGTATGCTTATCAGTAGAGCCAGGACAAAACCTAACCTGATATGGCTAGTAAATATTAGGGTTAATGTGTTCTATTATGTAGTAGTGAGGTACATACAGCAAAGGGAAGAGAAAGTAAACAAGATGGGAGTTACATAAAGGTAAGCTCCGAGTTAAGCTCCAGAATATTGTGTAAGTGGCAGACAGGCAGAGCGGTTGGATGAACTTGTGGAGTTCCCATGTGTTTTCGACTCCGATAGTGCAGGTACCTGGAAGGTACGTACATAAATAGGTAGCTTTTAGTACCTAATCGATAGCAGGCCGGTGCTCATAGTGGAACCTGTATGGGTCCCTTAATTTTGTGATTGCAACTGATTGAAAGATTCGAAGCCAGGGGATGATGAGCTAGAGAGGGAAACCTTGAAATTTCTCTCTTCACCGCACCGATAATAAATCCCCACCAACCCCCCCCCCCCCTTGACTTACAATTATTATTCTTCCAACATTTCTTCGTCGAACTATTCTTTGTTCGTAGTCCCCTACGGTCGAGAGTTTCAGCACGCCTGCCGATTCATTCTCACTGTTGCCATTGGCATTGGCAATTGGCATCGACATTAACATTGGTGTCAAGGCGTTCCTAAGGTTTTCTAGGGAAACTCGTCGTCTGTTTCGTCGACTCCAATTCTGTCACTAAATATCGATAACCCTTTATAAGTCGAACCTTGGGGTAGTTCACCTTTTGCTTCTCGCTTCTCGCTTCTCGCTCCTCGCCTCTCACCTCAACAGCTTAACAACACCTTTAACACCGTCTTCCCTACAACTACCTAGACAGTCTGAGGCAACTATAGAATTAATTGCTACTATACAAAATACGAAGAAGGGCATATTATTAGGTTCGTCCCGTCCTCCCCACCTAAGACTAGACATCCCGGTTCCGAGACACTGTACGGACATCATAAGTAGAACTGAACTAATCTGTACCTTAGAAGGATAAGCATAATTGTTCAGCGATCGTCGCCAAATGCCTTCGCGGTAGTACTAACATGATTGCTTCTTCATTTCTTCCCTCCCGCTTTCGCGGTGAGCAACCAACCGATACACCAAGCCCACCATCCAAGTTGAACCAGAGAGTCACACCGATCCTCCAGTTTTTCTCCAAGATTGCTTGCCTGCACCCGATCCATACCATCGTTATCGTTTCCTTAATAGCTAGCACCACCTACGTCGGCGTCGTAAAGGAGAGCCTCTTAGATGTGACTAGAAGTGCGAGGACGGCCGATTGGCCCTCGTTAGTGGAGGGCAGCAGAAGCTTGCAGGTTGGCCCCGAAACCTCGTGGCGGTGGCAGAGCTTCGACTCCGATTCGACCATCCCAAAGGATGCCGACCACTTGGCCCTTGTTACTCTGGTCTTTCCGGAGTCGTCTGCAGATGCGCCCCAGACTGCGCCGTTGCCTCATATCGTCCCTCTCCCGCAGAACCTGAGCATCTCGCATCTGCCGTCTACTTCGAACTCCTTAAGTGCCTATTCCCAGGACAGCGCTTTGGCATTTGCCGTCAAGTATAGCGAGGCTGCGGAGTTCCTTGCAGCAGCACAAGAGATCCCCAACGATGTTCCTGGTCAAGAATCGCGCGAAACCGAGTTAGGCAAGGAGGAGCAGAAGATGTGGATAATGAAAGTCGCCAAGGGTTACACCAGAGGAAGTGTAGTACGATGGATTCACAATGCTTGGACAGAGTTTCTCGACCTGATAAAGAATGCCGAGACGCTAGATATCATCATCATGGTCCTGGGATATCTGTCTATGCACCTAACTTTCGTGTCGCTGTTCTTATCCATGAGAAAGATGGGGTCGAACGTCTGGCTAGCCATCAGTGTGCTTTTCTCATCGACTTTCGCCTTCCTATTCGGTCTCAATGTTACCACCAAGCTCGGCGTTCCGATCAGCATGGTCTTACTATCCGAAGGGTTACCTTTCCTGGTTGTTACTATCGGGTTCGAGAAGAATATCGCGCTAACCCGGGCTGTCCTGTCCCACGCGTTAGAGCACCGTAGGCCCGAAGAGAAGCAGACCAATGGTGGTAAATCTGCCAAGTTCTTGACTCCCTCGGATGGTATTATTCACTACGCCGTACAGCGCGCAATCAAGGATAAGGGTTATGAGATCGTCCGTGACTATGTCATTGAGATTCTGATTCTCGTTGCCGGAGCCGCCTCGGGCGTGCAAGGCGGCCTCCAGCAGTTCTGCTTCTTAGCCGCCTGGATACTCTTCTTCGACTGCATCCTGCTCTTCACCTTCTATACCGCTATTCTGTGCATCAAACTCGAAGTAAACCGCATCAGGCGCCACGTGGAGCTGCGTCGGGCCTTGGAAGACGACGGTATCAGTCGCCGCGTTGCTGAGAATGTTGCCAAGAGTAATGACTGGCCTAGAAGAGATGCTAAGGGCCAGGCTGATGTGCCTCTCTTCGGTAGTGATCTCAGGGGCAACAGCGTCCCAAAGTTTAAGTTCTGGATGGTTATGGGTTTTGTTGCCATCAATGTCGCCAACATCTGCACGATTCCCTTCAGGACCTCGGAGATTTCCAGCATCTCTTCGTGGGCTACGGGCTTGGGAGGTGTCGTTAGTTCACCCCCTCTCGACCCCTTTAAAGTTGCGTCTAATGGGCTTGACGAGATACTTTACAACGCGAAGAATCAGTCTAAGCCGACTGTAGTTTCTATCCTGACTCCCATCAAGTACGAATTGGAATTTCCTTCTATCCACTACGCGGAGGCGCCCCTACCCACGAACAACGGGTACCATGGTAAACGGGACAGCTATCCTCAACTCAACGGCTACGGAGTAGGCGGACGCATGGTTGGTAGCCTTCTTACCAGTCTCGAGGACCCGATCCTATCCAAGTGGATCGTGATCGCTCTAGCCATGAGTGTTGCGCTTAATGGTTATCTATTCAACGTGGCCAGGTGGGGTATCAGGGATCCGAATCTGCCGGATCATCCTATAGACCCGAAGGAGCTCGCAGATGCCGAGCGATTCAACGATACGCAGTCTGCAACACTACCCCTCGGTGAGATCCTACCGAAGCAGTCGCAGTCGCAGCCAATGCCTGACAGACCTATCACTCCCGCCTATACCGATGATGAGAGTGTTAGCCAGCCTCCCCCAGCTAGTCAGCTAGCGTCACTAGCGGCGCAGAGGACACAGAGCGAGCTAGACAGGATATTATCTGAGAAAAGGGCGCACGAATTAACTGATGAGGAGATTGTTGCCGTATCGCTGAAAGGCAAGATCCCTGGTTATGCATTGGAGAAGACCCTCAAGGATTGCACGCGGGCTGTGAAAGTTCGTCGAAGTATCATCGCGAGGACCCGAGCGACGGCAGACCTTACTGGCTTATTGGACCAGTCTAAGTTGCCGTACGAGAACTACAACTGGGAACAAGTGCTTGGCGCCTGCTGTGAGAACGTTATTGGTTATATGCCCATTCCTGTCGGTGTAGCCGGACCGCTCGTCATCGACGGCAAAAGCTACTTTATTCCCATGGCGACTACTGAAGGTGTGCTCGTCGCTAGCACAAGCCGCGGCTGCAAGGCTATCAACTCTGGCGGAGGTGCCGTTACGGTTCTGACGAGCGACGGAATGACTCGAGGACCATGCGTGCAATTCGAGACACTCGAGCGCGCCGGCGCTGCGAAGCTCTGGATCGATTCCGAGACAGGTCAGTCCGTCATGAAGAAGGCGTTTGATTCAACTTCAAGGTTTGCTCGATTGCAGACGATGAAGACGGCTCTTGCTGGAACTAATCTCTTCATCCGGTTCAAGACGACGACCGGCGACGCCATGGGGATGAACATGATCTCCAAGGGTGTTGAGCACGCGTTGAATGTCATGGCTACCGAGGGTGGGTTTAGCGATATGTCCATCGTGTCGCTGTCTGGAAACTACTGTATTGATAAGAAGGCTTCCGCGATTAACTGGATCGATGGCCGAGGTAAGGGTATAGTTGCCGAAGCCATCATTCCGGGCGATGTAGTCAAGGCGGTGCTGAAGAGCGACGTGGATAGCCTCGTCGAGCTTAACATCGCAAAGAACTTTATCGGGTCTGCTATGGCTGGTGCGATGGGCGGTTTTAATGCTCACGCAGCCAACATAGTTGCGGCCGTTTTCATCGCTACCGGACAGGACCCGGCGCAAGTCATAGAGAGTTCGAATTGTATCACCATCATGAAAAAGTAAGTCCATTATCGTATTCGTCTTATTATTACTTCTCAAGCTAACTTGCCCAACAGCCTACGCGGGTCTCTTCAAATCTCCGTGTCTATGCCGTCGATTGAAGTTGGCACGCTCGGCGGCGGCACTATCTTGGAGCCTCAGAGTGCCATGCTCGACATGCTCGGTGTTAGGGGACCTCACCCGACAAACCCTGGTGACAATGCGGCGCGTCTTGCTCGTATAGTTGGCGCGGCAGTCCTTGCGGGAGAGCTCTCCCTCTGCAGCGCTCTCGCTGCCGGCCACCTAGTCAAGGCGCACATGGCGCACAACCGTTCGGCTCCCCCAACCCGGAGTACCACGCCGGCCCCAGTTGCCAGTGGTGCGATGACACCCGTTGGATTAACTATGACAAGTTCGAAGAGTTCTGCCGCTCTTGATCGGGCTGCGGTATCGAGACGTTGAATGATAAGACAGCTCATTCGTTTCGTATCATTGATCAATTTACGGTGTATTAGAGGTTTTTAAAGAAGATGCGCTCCTTATAGAGCATAATGATGCATCGAGCTAGGCGTTTAGCGAAGTTACGTTTAGGTATGTCTTGTGACAAATAAGACGTCATGCGGATGGGTGGTTGACGGAGGTATTCAACCAAGTCAGTTAGGGGTCCGTGTTCTACGAAGTTTAGATTCTCTTTTATTCGGATCAGAGAGATCACAGATGGAGATGACTAGCAAGTCACTGCCTACGCAGGGTCGCCACGGGTATAAAAAAAACAAGAAGCTCTCAGCTATAGACACCTAGAAAGACGAAGGGAATAGATACACGTGCTTCTTTGGACGGTCTTGAACGAGTTCCCTGCGGCGGAATGGTAGGAGTATTACTATCTCCTATTTTTGCTTAGTACATAATATATATTCCATCAATAGACCAAACTAATATCCCAGATGTACCGTTATGGTTGCCTATCTGATGGCAGCACTGTAGTCCATTATCCTCTTTACCTCTTGTCTCTTACCAGCGATTAAAGTGCGGTGTCGTAATCTTTCAATTTTTGGTACATATCCGCCTCGAGTTTCGCAAATCCGAGCACCTTACTTAGCACCTTACTTAGGTAGAGCATTTTATTACAATCTTCCCCCTAGTGCGTCCCTTCCTCAGCTTCTCGAAGGCCTTGGGTGCGTCTTCGTACTGGAACACTTCGTCGATGATAGCCTTGACCTTCCCTTCACTCATCCATTTGGCGATCTGCTCAAGGTCGGCATGGGTGTTATTCGTAACAAGATACTGCCACTTTCTTTTGCCGCCGCCTAGGAAGGAAGGTAGAAACTGCCTCGACATGATGGTGGTTATGTTTGTCAGAGAAAACTCGCCGCCGATCTGCACGAATTTTCCTTCGGGGCGCAGGAAGTGGTCGGCTGCTTTATATAGATCGGACGGCGTGCCGACGTTGTCGACGACCAGCTGGTAGACTTGACCTTTCGCCTTGAGGACTTGGCTGACGTTCTCTGCCGTGTAGTCAATGATCTCGTCGGCTCCGAGGCTACGGCACAGCTCTGCATTCTTGCCCGAGCAACTCGTAGTCACGTGGCAGCCTAGGGCTTTGGCGATCTGGATGCCGAACGTGCCTGTGCCTCCGCTGCCGCCGTTGACGAAGACCTTGTCTCCCTCCTTGACGTTGGGCGCGATGCACTGGTACGCCGTCTGCGCTGCCGTCCCGATGCAGCTCGCGTCCTGGAGGGAGACGCCTTCGGGGACGGCGGCGCAGCCGTCGAGGTGCGCGCATACGTACTCGCCTAGCGAGCCGTGCTTGCTAGGGGGGATGCGCCCGAAGACGTTATCGCCGACGCGGAAGGAGGCGGCGACGGCGTCGCCGACCTGCGCGACGACGCCGGAGAAGTCCATGCCGGGGGATGCGGGGGTGGGGATTAAGGCGCGCATGGGCAGGCCTAGCTCGGGGAACTTGTAGTCGGCTGGGTTGAGGGCGCTGTAGTGCACTTTGACTAGGATGGCGTCGTTGGGTAGGGGCGGGTGGAATGGTAGCGGTGCGTTGTCGATTAGCTGGATGTTCTTCTCGATGCCGCCGCGCGTCGAGGTGTATACCCAGGCTCTCATGGCCTGGGGGGTAGACGGAGATGTGTCGTTGTTGTTGTTAGACATGTCGTTGCTTAGGGTGGATACCCTTGAGTTTGTGGAGGTTAGGTAAAAGAAGTCTTCTATGTACAGTATACTGATAAATTGATGATCATGAGATATGGGTTTCGGTTAGACACGATACATAGACAACATACCTTGGAAGTCAGCCCATTGTTTTAATTTAATTTAGAGTCACATGACGTGATATATGCCTACATATATACGGTATAAAGCTATGAGGATGATGTAATAATTAGAACATGGTCAACTTAATATGTCATTATTCTATTAGACTGTTATTGCCTTTTAATCTATGTGCTAGTTATCTAACCTAGGTTAGTTATACCTAAGTTTAGGTAGTTAGGCTACTTATAAAGTACTATAGTACGAAAGAACAACGCTGCGACTCCAAGAAGCTTCTCTGAGAGACGCCGGTAGAACGATTCGGACATTAACCTCGGGGATGCACGGGCATTCGCCGTACCAGCCCGGAATCCGTCTGCCGAAACTGCCTGGTTATACATACCTATACAAGTTCTAATTGCGTACTCAGTGCGGTTGGGATGCTATTTATTTTGAAGAATAACCGGCGACGTCATTAATCCGACGTCATTAGTCCGCTCAATCTTGATGCTCGGGTATCTACATCTACATAAGTGATTGATTTTAACGTGAACATTTCTGCCTCATGACTAGCAGCCGATGCTTATGCAACGACATACGCGGATGAGCCGGATGCGACGAGCGGCCCGGTTTTGACTTATGCCGAGATATAATATGTTGATCAGCGCGTAGCCTAGCAGCGGTGTCGGCAGCGGTGCTTCTCGAGTGCTCGTCCGGTAGCGGTGGAAACTACCCGCGCGCATTATCTTGGGTTAAGCCGATAGCTTCCGGGTCTTCGTATCTTCATCTTATCTGATCTGGTATCTGCATAGGCTTAAGGTTCTTGGCTAGCTAGCGAGCTTATCGGCTGAGCTTATTCTGTGAAATCGAGCCTTGATGTATGTATGTATACCTACCTAGGTACCTATATACTGGGTTAAGAATAGGGGGTAATTTTGATATTAATTGGTCTCAACTTATACGCATCGATGGAGAGACAACCCATTATTCCGCGACTAACCTTAAGTTAACGAACTTGTATATACTATATAAGTCTGCAGTGCATCCTTGGCTGAGCTGCTAAGATCCGAGTTGCTTGTGTAATAAGTGTGACAACTTTGTACTATACAAGGTGGGATTTGATCCGAATCCCGGCTCTCGTTGGTCCGAGCTACGGATTTAAAGCGGGCGGCGCAAGGAAAAAAAGAATTGTGACGTTAAGACAAACCAACCTAGCTGACCTCACCTAAACTAACCTAAATCAAGGGAATCTTTTCTCGAGTCTCATCTTTCTCTCAGCTCAGTCTCAATGCCCCGCGTCTAGCCAAGCCAAGCCACTTTCCACATTATTCCCGTCTCTCGCAGCCTCGACCCCAGAAAACATTTATATATTTATATATACTTATATACCGAGAGAAGCCTATACGGCTCCCGCTTCCGAGTTGATTGCGCGGTGAAGGAAATGTCATGCCTGACGAAAAGCCCAGTTGGAAGACGAATCCCTGTCCCTGCTGGATATTCTGCACAGTTACGGCATTAGGTTAGGTATTTCTATGAGAGAAAGGCCCACACCATCCACCATCCCCTCGGGGTGAGTCAGTAAGTATATCGTATCAGCGTATGTAGAAGAAACCTGCCGTTCTAAACTCAGCCTTGTCTTTGATAGGATTCTTGGCTAGCCCGCGTAATTATCTCGATTTGTTTTTTACATACCTAGGTACTTGCTCACTTTGACAATATCTACCTAAGTCTTACTCAACCCTTACTACTCGGAAGCCTCTCTGTCGCCGAGTTACTGAAGAGGCTGAACCATATGGGATCTGAACCATATGGGAATTGGTAAGCTCAAGAGCACCGCTCGCGGATCATCCGCACTATATCCAACCTATATTTTACTTCTATCACTCAAAACAATTTAACTCCCATGGAATTGTCATCCCGTTCGTCCCCGAACGAAAACTCGATCGGCTCTCCCGCCGCCTTATCCGCTGCTGCGTCGACACCTCAAGATTCTGCGTCGGTATCAAACTCCGCCTCGGTCGTTCCCGTGCCCGGCGCTCACAATGCCGCTTTTACGCCCTCGGGCCCTATCACTCTCGACCCGTCCACTACGCCCTCGTCCGTGCTGAATCCGCGCAGCTGCGTAACATGTCGACGACGGAAAGTTAGATGCGACAAATTTATGCCCTGTGGCAACTGTCGCAAAGCCCATATCCAATGCGTCTTCCCAGCACCAGGTCGTGCGCCGCGGCGACCGCGCATGAAGGACCCCAATGCCCCGCCCAAGCAGACGAGCGAGCGCGAGATCGAACTCATGAAGAGGCTACGAAAGTTGGAGAGCATAGTAGAAGATCTTAGTGGACAGATTGAAATAGAGACGGCGAGGCACCCCTCTCTCAGCGGCGGGGCTTCACCCGAGGCGACACTGGATAACGCGCAGGAGAGAGAGCGGCGAAGGCAGAATGGAATCACATATAGCGAGAATCTACCCGGCGGCTACCCTCCGGCCGACCATCTAAAATTTGGCCGCTCTCAGACCGGCGACTCCACTAACCAGACATTGAAGAGTCCAACCTCTGAGGTTAGCAAGCCCTTCGGGAGATTGGTGTTGAACGAGAAGGGAAAGACGCGGTACGTGAGCAGCGCGTTCTGGTCCAAGGTTAACGACGAGGTATGTTGGCTACATATTCAAGGCCCTGACGGATTGTGTCATTGACTTATGCGATAGCTTAACCAGCTTCGAACCGAAACAGAGATGCTCAGCGATGACGACTCCGAAGCTTCGGACGATGGCAGTAGTCCTGGTGCGTTGCACCCTCACCCAGATTCGATCGATCACCACAGCTTCGTCTTAGGCTATAGCTCTTCCAATGTCGACCTACGAAAATTACATCCCTTGCCGTCTCAGATACCATTCTTCTGGCAGGTCTACCAGGAGAATGTCGACCCGCTAGTAAAGATATTACACGTACCATCTATGAATAAGACCATTCGCGAGCTGAGGAGTAACATGGACGGTATCTCGCCGGGGATGGAAGCTTTAATGTTCGCTATATATTATGCTTCCATCACCTCTATGGAAGATAATGAGGTACGAACCCAACTGCATAACTGATGTAGTAGTGAAAGCTAATCGTTATACATGTCTAGGTTAAGATAAATTTTGGCGCCGATAAGGCGCAGCTTATTAAAAAGTATCGCTTTGCTACGGAGCAAGCCCTTGCAAAAGCGAATTTCTTAGTTACGTCAGAACTAGTGGTAGTTCAGGCCTTTACTCTCTTTCTCGTGCTCGTCCGTCGGTACGATGACACGAGGTTCGCCTGGACGCTTACCGGTCTCGCGATCCGCATCTCGCAGTCGCTGGGAATACATCGAGAAGGGACTGAATTTGACGGCTTGAGCCCGTTCGACGTCGAGATGCGCCGTAGACTCTGGTGGGCAATTTGTATTCTCGACCTGAGATCGGCAGAGGACCAGGGTACGGAGCTGACGATTGCGGAGCGGACGTACGATACGCAATTTCCGCTAAATATCAACGACGCGGATATAACCCCCGAAATGACGGAATTCCCGGAAGAAAAACTAGGGCCTACTGATATGACTTTTTGTCTCATACGTTACGAAATCTGTGCTCTGGCTAGGAAGATACACTTCGCAACAAACGGGATGGCCCCGTGCCGTGCCCGGAGTACAGAAGAAGAGCGCAACAAGATGCTCCACGACTGCTACGAGCGGATTGAGACGAAGTATCTCAAAACGTGTGGCGACAAGGATGCGGATGTGTTACATTGGGTCGCCGCCATGATTGCGCGGCTAATCATGGCTAAGATGAGTTTAATAATTTATCAGCCGATGCTACTCCATTGGGGAGCCCAGGAGGTCAGCAAAGAAATTCGACACCGTCTCTTTATGGCTTCTCTCGAGGTAGTCGAATATACACGGGTGTTAAACTCGGAACATAGATGTCGCCAGTGGCGATGGCTCTTCCAAACGTACGCGCAGTGGCACGCCGTGGCCTATCTCCTGCTTGAAGTGTGCCGGCTGCCTTGGACCGCGTCGCTCGAGCGTGCCTGGATCGTGCTCAGCGCGACATTCCAAACTCCGGATGTGTCACAGCGTGCCAAGCCAGGTGTTTGGATTCCGCTGCGCAAGCTTATGGGACAGGCGAGGCGTCATAGGGATGAGGAAATCCAGCGGCTGAGAGCTGATCCCGAGGCTGCACGACAGCTCGATTTGGACGAACAGAAGAAGACGCAGCCAGAAAGCTTCAAACACCTGTCTAGCTCGATGCGAGGTGTTCTAGCCCAAGAGCAGTGGCGCAAGCTCGTGGGAGTTAAAGGTCCTGAAAAACCAACATTTCACACCTCGGAAGTCACGGGTGGCGGCATACAGACGGAAAGGAAGGGACTTATACGGGAGCAGTCGGATATGGAGGTAGCCCCGGCTGACTTGCAGTATGTCGACCACTTGATGTCTCAACCGTATCTCGACTCTCAAGACATCTTCTCGGTCGCCTTTCCGGGCAACCAAGCCTACTTTACTGAAGGGGGCGCTCAGCCCCCGGGCGGATCCCGGCCAAACCAGGCAGCTCCTGGAGGAGCATTTGGTGCTACTAGTAGCAATAGCAATCAGCCATCAACAGGTCAGCCTGCACATAATTTTCTAGAGGACAACCCTCCACCGTGGTTCTGGAGCGGTGTCTGGGGCCAGTCTCCCCCGAATAGCGCGGCAGAGAACGCGCCGAATTCGGAGGACCAGGACGTTAATATGGATGTGGACGAGAGTTTCAACTGGCAGAATTGGGTAGACAACGGGCTCGCGATGGGTAGGGTGAGTTTTATGGGAGGGATCTAAGAATTTCCTACGCAACCGCTCAATTGGTATATATGCCCAACTAGACCGACGCAAGAATATACGACGGCCTCGAGACGTCAAGTTGCAGAGGGTTTACTAAAACGTTCGAGAGGCTTCGATAGGGTTGAACTTTGCCCGCCATATTGCCGGGTAAAGGGTCATTCTACGACTACCCTACCTTAAGGCAAAGGGTGCGAAGGCAGAAGAGAATGAACGGCCGTGATGAAGTCACGATGCCGTTCCGTGTACATATTGATACCCTACTCTTGGGCTTCGAGCTTTGGATATGAATCGAAAAGAAACCATGAATAACAACCCTACGTTCAGAATCATAACTCTAGGTGCAAATACGGGCTATTTAAGTTCTTAATATACATTGGTAGTTATCTACCAGCTTGATATCTTTTATCCCGAGTCAAATTGATCGTTGGTCCCATCCGGTCATCCGGTGGCCGGCTGCCGGGTTTCCGTATGGATGGCTCAACTTTTAATGACCGGAGGAATTTGGAAACGAGTGTTGCACTAACAAATTATATATCGCTATTAATTATGATTTGTCAGCATTACCTAGGTAATCAATATCACCAATCTCGAGGGTCTTATAAATCCCCTATGCCATTATTAACGTGCTATTTATTTTCCTCTCGACGGCCCAATTAAAACACGGTCGAACTATCTCGCCGCGAAGTTTACTATTCGGAGGGTGGATACGTTGGGCAACGGAGACAGGCTTCCGGATAATACCGGGCAATGTGAATTGTCTTGTCTTGTGAGAATGCGGCGACTTTCTAGGCTATCAAATTGTAAATAAAAACAGCAGCTCCCGGCGCGTCGTTAGTTTTAGCTGGGTAATAACTCCCTAGGCCTCTAAACTATTGGATATAGGTATAGAGAACAAGTAACTTCAACACCATACGTTTAAACATGTCACACAACGTACTTATAACTGGGGGTTCCGGGTACCTCGGTGGAGATCTCCTTGCTCGGATGGGCGCTGCAAACCTACCACCTTACGGAAAGTTATTCGCATCCGTGCGGACAGCAGAGCAAGCGGAAGGCGTCCGACAGTACGGCGCACAACCACTATTTTTTAATCTAAAAGACAGGTCGGAAATCCGGACCGCCGTCATCGACCACGAGATCACGGTGGTTTACTATTTGATCGATGCGGTACAACACGACCCTCCTTTATTCTTCATCGAAGCGCTCGCCGAGGTCAAGAAAGCGACCGGACGTACCGTTCATTTCTTACACGTAGGTAGGCCGTCGAAGATGGTCTTCGGTTAAATCTAATCAGGTGTATTTATTTCAGACTACCGGGGCCAAGCTCTTTTCTAGCCATGCGGACGCCCCGACCGACCGTCTCCTTTTGGACACGGACCCGCAGTTATATGACATCCAAAAGGCCCAGAGTCCGAAGCTCAGTGTGGCGCAGGAGGTGAGTGTATATGACAAAAGATTTCCTGTTATACATGGCTAAGCTTGAGATAGGGTGTTAGAACCAACTGCGCGGTGATAGAAGAAGCTGAGAGATATGGGGTTCACGGGTATGTCTTTGTGCCCTGTATCGTGTGTAAGTCATTTCGCAAAGCTTGAAAGTCCGGAATCCCATTCGTCATATGCCTACTCCATTATACATACGAAAGTTACTCGGAAGCTTTTAAATTTATCTCGTTGACAATATATCTTTATAGACGGGAAAAGCAAGGGATTCGGCGACCCCGTTTCCACCCTACGACAGATATATATGATTGTGCGGTCCGCAAAGGCATTAGGACGCGTGTATCGCGTTGATTCCGACCGACCGGTGCGTCCATAGGTCCCTCTCGCAACTTATAATTACCTAAACGCAGGACTCTAACCGCGAAGGAGTAGGAATGGCCCGTATGTCACATCCTCGACAATACCACGGCGTACATAGCACTCCTGCGCAAGATCCTAGCCGATGAGAACCCCAGCCACGGCAAGAACGGGTATTACCTTGCTTCCCCCGGTAGCGTTGCGGTAAGTACCTACCTACCTACCTACGACTATTACCTTAGGTAGTTTCCTGGGTTTGAAAAAAAGGGCCACAAGCGGGTTTTGTTATCGAGTCTTGTCCTCAGAGCATATACCTATGACAACGGACGCTAATCCAGTACCTAATGCCAGTGGGACGATCTATACGACGCAGTAGCCGCCGCACTCGTCAAGCGCAACATCATCGCCGATGGCTCAGTTGCTCTGGCGGACGATAAGATTCTCGGGGATATGGGTGCTGCACTGGGAGTCCCGAAGGAGATGGTGCCTCTTCAGTTGGGCGGGAAGTAAGTTTTTTCCTCGTATTTTTTCTAATAACTACCTTACCTACCTACCTGGCCTAAAGAAATCCTCGTTGCCTGTCTGCCTGTACCTATACCTATACCTATACCTATACCTATACCTATACCTATACTGACGTGGGTTCTGCTATTACTTAGGTGTACTCTAACGGCTCGACGTGCCCGTGAGGAGTTGGGTTGGAAGCCGGTTTATTCGGCGGAGCATGTTTTGGAAGCTGCTGATGCTGAAGTTGAGTGGATTCTGGAGCATCTGAAGGACTGAAACGTACGCGTGTCGAGTTATCTATGCCTTGGGGAATATGTCATAGGGTTTGGCTATTGCGACCCCTTTTCTAATTTTGATTTATTCGTTGCTGTAGTTAAACTATAGGAGTTCCCTTTTATCAGATTGCTCTTTGGACTAGGTATAACTATACCTGTATATTAAGATATCTTGTTTAGGTAGGTAGATTATTGCGTCGGTGCCGATGGTTTACTACTAGAGGCTGGATACTGCGAAAACTTCTCGCCCTAGCAGCCGTTGAATTCTTTGATAAGCCGTGGAAGAGCGTAGGCACAAGGGAGAGCCTAATGAAAACATCGACCATTTTCGGACATTACCTTTCGCACTGGACCTCCCTCTATTCGCTGCTGGTTTTTTTTTTTGGTTTTTTTTTTTTTTTGGAATCGGGAGCATATATCGTCGTAATTTATCAAGTTGTAGAAACAGTAGGTGACAAGAGTCTTAGTTATGCGACGTGAATAAGTTTACAAGTATTCTAGCTTACTTTGTTGAATATAATACCGTTTGATAAACGTAGATATATCGAGTGTACTGAACTTGAGTAGGCCCGTTTTCAACTATATATACTGGAATAACTAATACAATTTGAATATATACACGACCCTTCAAGCACTCGCATAGTTACTGCCTATTGAGGGACTTTGGTAGAATGTACTGTGGCTATCAAACATCTTGGAATTTTGAATCATACCTAGCATCTGTTAAGTATGACGTTCCAACTATGATCCTTCGAGAATATCTATAACCAAGTGTTAGTCCGCATCTACCGGCACCAATGCTGAGATAGTAAACACTTACTTGTCCATGAGTGTTTGTAGTCCAGCTATTACCGCCGTTATATGTACTCTGTTGGCAGTTGATCAAGACCTCAACAGCATTACTGGGTAACATGTTAGACTAAGTATCTACACCCTCTTAATATCGAAGGACTTACTCGGCAACGATGGAGCAAGCGTTATGCAATTCGTTACTAGAGTCGTTGCATAGAAAGATGCCGGCGCCGGAATTACAACTGCTGACACTACATCCGCCATCCCCAGGACTTCCAGGAGGTGCAGCGCAGTCCCCGTTGGCAATGCTGTACAAATATCTAACCCCGACGCCGATCGACTCGGCGTTGACGTCGTTCCCGTAAGCGCATGTCCAGTCCTGTGATAAATGTCACGTATTAGAAGTAAGGAAACGCAAGGGGGCGTAAGAAAATAGTGAGTGATGAGGTAGACATGCATCTGACGTTGTCGCCCGTTTTTTAATGGGTTCAAGATCCCGCCTCTTCACTCTAGAGTGAGGGCTATTCAGGCCCAACTCGTTGTCGTAATTCGGATTGATTCTTGTAATCTGCGTGTAAATTTCCTGCGAAACTAGATTAGTAGGACTCTATGGTATACCGGCCGTTGGGGCTTACCTCTGCGGTGCCTGTGATAGACACAGCAGGCTCACCTGGCTTGACTTGGCCTGTCCATGTTATCTTGGACGCACCGAACCCATTGGTTCCAGCGGAACTCTCGGTCGGTAACGCCTACACATCTGTATTAGCGACGATGACTTGGACTTGGAAACGAAATCATTGAGCGATGGACGTACGGCGGATGCTACAGCTCCGGCGAGAAGACAGACGAATGTAGGGAACACCTTCATGTTGGATTATGGGATACTTCGCCTTACTTCCGACCTACAAAGAAAACCTCGAAGTAAACACCGACCTCTATGGTAAACTTGATGCTATATACCATCATGTCACAATAGAAATCCTAGCAAGGATGCCGAATCGCTAACCGAAACAAGGTCACCCGACTAACCTCCCTTTTATTTAACGGCCCTGATTGATTAGGCAAGTGACATTATGCGAAGTCCAAACCGACGATTCCGGTCTTATTATCAACCTCATTTTAGTCCTTACAACATTGGATTATGGCTATAGATAGCTATCCTAAAGTCGCCTTGCCGCATGACCTTGGAGCCATCGCGGCTTTAAGTCCTCATTAGACTCGGCGATAGCTATTATTGGCGGGTCATAACCCCAGGCGTAAGATGTAACGTAACCAATCACGATTTGTGAAATTATGAAGTTGTATGGTCCTACAACGGACGTTTTCTCCGTTCCTTATACCTAGACCTAGCAGGGGCGAGATAAATTTACACTATCTGATCTATTAAGCGTTCAAACTGTGATTGAAAATAAGCTTAAGTTGGATTAAGTTAAAGGAAGCTTAGCAAAGTAGACGGTAAGTTCAAAAATGACATTACCACCTACTATTACGGGTATGGTGACTTATTCACAGGACTCCCCGTTCAGGATCGCTTGCTGGGCAATACGCGTACAAGCTTTACCGCGAGGTATTTTTGGCACCGGTTCTACGGCACAGCCATCAACGTGGCAATGCTCAGCTGTGTTCGGGCGCAAAAAAGATCGTCCCGGATCGTCGATGATACTAGATCTTATATCCTTGTTATGCAATAATACGCCGTATCGAAAGCGTTTACCTAACCCAGTGTAAACATTTCATAAAATCATGGAATAGGTACCTACTTGCCCAATGCACTGGCTGGATAACTAAAGTGGGCATCGCGTAGACGGAAACGTGTGGTAGTGTCGGATGAGACGAATATGTTTTCTTCACTCTGGTCCTGTAGAGTTCTGCCGACGGCGGCACTTTACAAGAGAGAAGGTAGGTAAAGCCGATGTTGGGATATCCTGCATGGCAACGCGAAGCGAGCTACGATTCTGCGCAGGATGATTAACGCCGGACAGCCTTAGCCTTGATGTTTCAGAACCTTTCGTGGCTTGTTATGTAGTTCCATTTTTGTAAGCTGACCGACACCCCATGTCCAGCCATGGTTCAGCTACATATGGCGTGGTTGATTACATATGGAGTAATTTTCTAGGCGAGATTCCAGTTAAGGAGAGGACCCATCTCCGGACACGCCTCCTGCAGAGGTCAAGCTACAACAACCTGACAGTAGCAGTTGCAATTTGGTCGCTTCCGGCTTAGCTCGGGCTGAACCCACCCGGATCCGTAGGGAATATTCTCAGATAGGGCATACATATCATGTATAAGTTGCGGTGTCCGCAGACAAAAGCCAGCATGCCGTGCCAGTCGTGTCAGAAGCGCGCGCATGTGGTGTATTGGGCTCACGCGCTGAAGTACTAGGTTAGGAGCCACGATGTTGTTGTTCTCAGCTTTTCCAGCATTTTTGTTAGCTTCCCTAGCCTCTGTCGCCCGGGCTCAATACCCGGACCCCGGCGCGTGCTCCGGGGAATGCTTCACTCACGACCCCGCCGTCGTGAAGCGCGCAGATGGCAAATATTTCCGGTTCTCGACCTTGGACCTGATCGGCATCTCGACCGCGGACGATCTGTCGGGGCCTTGGACGCGGAGCGGTAGCGTAATCCAGGGCGCTAGCGTTATTGATATGCCAGGGAATACGGAGGTAAGTGTTAGGTAGTGTCCTATATTCTAAGAAGAGCATCTTACTTACTATAGAATCCGATCTAGTTATGGGCCCCTGACGTAGTTTACATTCGGGGAATCTACTACTGCTTCTATTCGGTATCGACCTCTGGGAGTCACCAGTCGGCCATCGGTTACGCAACTTCTACAACCCTGGAATCCGGGTCCTGGAACGACCAGGGAATTGTAGTAACCTCATCAGATAGCAGCCCATACAATGCCATCGACGGGAATGTCGTCAACGGCACGGGCCCCAACGAATGGTACATACAGTGGGGTTCGTATTGGAATAACATCTACCAGGCAAGAGTAGCCATCGACGGCGAGTACGTCTTCAGGTCGGGCAACGAACACCAGATAGCGTATGAGCCATCGGGAAACCACCAGATGGAGGGCGCTTTCATCTGGAAGCGCGACAACCTCTGGTACCAATTCCTGAGCAAAGGTATCTGTTGCGTTTACAACCCGGACACAGACCCGATCGACCAGGTCTATCATATCACGGTCTGTCGAAGCGACAGCCCGGCTGGGCCCTATGTAGACAAAGACGGCAGCGCCTGTACCGACGGTGGTGGGACAACCGTGCTCGCTAGCCACGGAAATATATACGCTCCGGGTGGACAGGGAGTGTTCCACGACGACGCACATGGCGACGTTCTCTACTACCACTATCGTGAGTACCTCCCTCCCTCTCATAATTTAACATTCAAAGGAAGTCCATATTCACTTATGCTAACTTGCCTATAGTGGATCTCAACGTTGGTGTAGATTATCCTCAGTCTAAGTTTGGATGGAATGTTATAAATTGGGTTGACGGATGGCCAACAGTGATATAGTCTAGTAGTATATAATTTCGGCATTTAGTATTCTTGTACGTTGTATATATCAAGTTCTGAATATCTGTTTCCCCTGAAACGCTTTGTGATGTTATTTCTTTTACCATTGGTCATTGGTTGATTGCTTGAGAAACAGACATACCTACCTACTCGAAAGGGACCTACCAAGGGACTACGCCTATGTATAACCAGGGTGATTGTGTGGTTGGCGAGATGCTATGCTTAGACTAGCTGCGATAGCTCCTAGCATATGCCCATATATTCTCTTATACGTAGGCGATTACGCAATTTAAGGCTACGATGTCAATTCGCTAATTAACAGGTAGCTATCATATCGGTATTCGGACTCCGGAGCTCGGGATACTACTATATCGAGGACAATTACGCTATTTAGCTGTTTTGAGATCGTTGGACCCTTCTAACTCTGCCATGTTTACGTATCCAAATCTAAGTGCTGACGGAACCCGTAAAATAATATTTAGATGATCGCCATGTAGTTTCCTAGATCTTTTACAACAACTTCTCTATATTGTGCGGTAAAACCAGCTTAGATTAGAAACCTTGCGTTCAAGATGCCCTTCACCGGGGAGGAGAACTTGCTTCAGCTGAACCAAGAAGGCTTCGACTTCAATGTGCAGTTTGAGCAGCTGTTCTTCTCGATTATACCGTCTGTACTATTCATTGCGGCATCGGTATGGAGGACGTTTTATCAGGCAAGGAAGCCTACCATAGTGAATGCACCAGCTTTTCAACTTATTAAACTGGTAGGTTCTGCATATGAACGTGCAATCGAGGCATAGAAGCTAAACTACCATAGGGTGCTATCACAACTTACGTTGGGCTTGAACTCTCACTCCTCATTCTAGTCGCAGTAGGCTCCTTCCATGTGACTAGCATGTTCATAGCCTCCTCGGTCCTTAAGCTTGTGTCGGCGTTGTTCATGGTAACACTTAGCCTCGTCGATCACAGCAAGAGCCCGAGACCTTCCGTGCTCCTAAACAGCTACTTGTTTCTGACCCTCCTCCTGGATGCAGCTCAAGCAAGAACGCTATTTCTGGTATCGGAAGACAAGCCCGAACTCACTTACAGCAGCATATTCTGCGCTGCGATGGCTCTTAAGGTTGGAATATTGGTATTAGAAGCCCAACGAAAATCGAAATGGGTCTGCTGGGACGAGAAAGAGCATAGTCCTGAGCAGACGAGCGGGATCTTTTCCCTCGGGGTCTACTTCTGGCTTAATAGGATCTTTATGGAGGGGTATAAGAAAGTCTTGACGATAAACGACCTTTACCCCCTGGATAGCTCTCTAGATGGTAAACTGCTCCACGAAGAATTCTCTAGAAACATTGACTATTCGAAACTGAAGGGCGACAAGTTTGGCCTTGCGAAGGTGCTAATACGCACATTGAAGGTCCCTCTCCTGCTTCCTATATTCCCACGCCTGGCACTTCTCGGTTTTACATTTTGCCAACCTTTCTTTATCGAAAAGCTATTGGAGCGCCTGTCGGAGCCGGATGTCGACGCAAACGTCGGATACGGCTTCATCGGGGCTAGCATACTAATATACTTGGGAATCGGTATCTCTACGGCCCTCTGCTGGTATGATAAACCATTCAAAGATTTGATAGTAAAGGCTATGACTTACATATAGGCACAGGTACTTTCATCATCGAATGCTCGCCATGATGAGGTCAATACTGGTTACCGAAACGTTCATAAAAGCTACAAAAGCTCGCATCGGAACTAGCGACGATAGCGCGGCGCTGACTCTGATGAGCACCGACATAGAGCGGATTAACATGGGCTTCAAACCTCTGCACAATATGTGGGCGAGCTTTATACAAGTTATCATCTCTGGTTGGATGGTGTACAACCAACTCGGGATAGTATTCGTGGCACCGATCGGAACCGTTATAATCTGCTTTACATGCTTAGCCATCGTTATGAAGTTTACGGGAGACTCGCAGAGGGCCTGGATGGCGGGGGTCCAGAAGCGTGTTGGCATGACGGCCACGGTCATCGCTAGCATGAAGAATCTGAAGATATCCGGCCTCTCCGGGGCCGTTAGCGATTTCGTACAGAATCTCCGCGTAGAGGAGCTGGCAGCCGGATCCCGATTCCGTAAGATAGGCATCATCGCGGCGCTTTTCGGGTACATCCCGTTTCTGCTCGGCCCACCACTCACTTTCGCATTTGCTCAGCGAACGCTAGACGCTACGAGGATATTCACAAGCCTTTCGTATCTCTTGCTCTTGACGGGCCCACTGTCGCAGGTTTTCCAAAATATCCCCCAGCTGCTCTCCGGACTGGCCTGTTTAGGGCGAATCCAGGCTTTCTTGGAGTGCGAAACTCGTCATGATTTTCGGGAAGTCCTTGCCGATATGAGGCGGGATTCGGAGAAGACTCGAGTAGATACCATCCCCTTGTCCCATTCAGAACAGGACTCAACGCATCCCATCGTCATCAGAAACGGGAAGTTTGGCTGGGAAGCAGGCAAATTCGTCTTGCAGAACGTGAACACTCGAGTTTCTAAGTCTTCACTCACCATCGTCGTCGGGCCAGTCGGCTCGGGAAAATCGACGCTGTGCAAAGCAGTCCTCGGGGAGATTCCTTTCAGCGGAGGTAGCGTGGTCTTAAGCACCAGATTCCCACATGTTGGATTCTGCGAGCAAGCAGCATTCCTCTCGAACGGGTCGATAAGAGACAATATCGTGGGATTCTCTGCATTTGATGAAGAGAGGTACACCGAAGTCATCGAGGCTACGGCTCTAACATTCGATATTGCTGCATTACCACAGGGCGATAGAACGAATATCGGATCCGACGGGATCACGCTATCAGGGGGACAGAAACAACGCGTCGCTCTCGCGCGGGCGCTGTATTTGCAATCCGACCTCCTCGTGCTGGACGATATCTTCAGCGGCCTAGATGCGGATACCGAGGAACAGGTTTTCCGACAAGTCTTCGGCCCAGATGGACTAATCAGACGGCGACGCTCTACGGTTATATTGTGCACTCATAGCATCAGACACTTACCTGCAGCCGATTACATCATAGCACTCGGAGATGGTACTGTCGTCGAGCAAGGTAGCTTTGACGAACTAATGACCCGTCAAGGATATGTTCAGCGCCTAGGATTGAGTAATCCTTCTGATAGCGACTCTTCATCCGAGAAGTCGACATCAAAGAAGAACGGTCGGGAATCCAAGGCGCCGCTTTTTCACACGATAACCAACACATCATCCCTCGTGCCAGATACTAACGGATCGCGGCAAGTTGGCGACAAAACAGTATACAAGCATTACTTCAAAAGCATGGGGTTACTCGTAGCAGGAGGCAGTTTTTTCTTCGCCAGTCTGTGGGGTTTCTTCTCGAACTTTCCAACAATTTGTGAGTCGGTTCTGTCTTTAGACGACAGGACTTCATCTTGCTTAGCCGTATAATCGCCTTCGGCTAAGCCTATTCCCAAGTCGAACTCCGAGAACCATTGCTAATTACTACTAACTAACTATTCATTAAAGGGCTTAAATATTGGTCTGATGACGTATACTCGGAACATCCGTCTCACACGTACGCTTATTACGTAGGGATATATGCTCTACTTCAAGCTTGCGCCTTGATATCGCTGCTTCTCCTCGGAACTGCGGTTATAGTTGTCTCCATCACAAGAGCAGGTTCCAATCTCCACCGCGACGCCCTGAGAACGTTGATCCGAGCACCCTTACGCTTCTTCACCGTAACGGACACCGGCGCCGTTACTAATCTGTTCTCGCAAGATTTGAATCTTATAGACACGGAGCTACCGAATGGACTATTGGACACATTATTCTGTGTAAGTTTGTTATAACTACTGTATTCCGACTCGAATTACGGCATGTTTCTACTTGCCGTTCGAATACTTAATTTTCTGATACAGCACTCTAGGTCTTTCAAGCAATCGGACAGGCAGCTGTCATGCTCACCTCGTCTCCGTACATGGCCATAAGCTACCCTTTCCTCGGCGTCCTGCTCTATATAGTGCAAAGATTTTACTTGCGGACATCCAGGCAGCTGAGGTTACTAGACCTTGAGGCTAAGAGTCCTTTATAGTAAGTTTGCCATCATGAGCCGGCGGGCTGTTTCGTTCTATACTGATATGAGTTCTCTTAGCACGCACTTCCTCGATACTCTTAAGGGTATTACAACTCTAAGAGCCTTCGGTGAGTAGCACGCCGAGTTGCCTGCAATGCCATCCACATCTGAGATATTTCGGGTTGGAGATATTGCAATTTCCACTCGCATAATCCTAGTACCAACGCTGACTAGAGGTTGACAGGCTTTCTCCCCGAAGACGTGCGAAAGAACGCCCGCCTAATAAATACCAGCCAGCGTCCCGCGTATCTGCTCGCGATGGTCCAACAGTGGCTAACCCTCGTCCTCGACCTCGTAGTAATGGTGATGGCAGCGGTCCTAACTACTCTCGCCGTTCGTCTTCACTCGAACTCTGGCTTTGCCGGTGCTTCTTTGATCACGCTCATGAGTTTCGGGGAAAACCTTTCAGGCATCGTCATATATTACACCAGGTTGGAAACTTCCATCGGAGCGATAGGTAGACTCAGAACATTCAACGAAGATGTCAGGCCGGAAGATAGAGATGAAGAGGATATTGTCCCTCCCGAGCAGTGGCCGCAGAGCGGTGAGGTAGAATTGAAAGGAGTGTCGGCGAGCTACGAGTAAGTTGGAACATTACAGCTGAAAGGTGTTACGCTGTAAAAATGAAGCTAACATATAGGGCAGTGCGGAAGACCGAATTGGAAGCGAACCAAACTTGGCCCTTCGCGGCATCGAGCTAAAGATCAAATCTGGACAAAAGGTCGCTATCTGTGGTCGCACCGGTAGCGGTAAGTCGAGCCTCATCGCTCTTCTTCTCAAGCTCCTCGACCCCCTCCCAGATATCTCCGGAGAGGTTATAATAGATAACACGCCACTCCGGCGCATAGACCGGCAGACGTTACGTCAGCGTATAATCGCAGTGCCGCAGGAAGCCGTCTTCTTGCCCGACGGATCTACTTTTCAAGCTAACTTAGATCCGTCCGGTGTCTCAACTCCGGAGGTGTGCCAATCCATTCTCGCAGCTGTTGGATTGTCGCAATTCGTCGCCGAACGGGGCGGCCTTGACGCGGGTATGAGCGCGGGGACTCTCAGCGCGGGGCAGAGACAACTGTTGTCTCTCGGGCGCGCTCTACTGAGACGGCGCGTCCGGGCGCAAAACCTAGGAATAGGGGGCGGCGGCTCCGAGGGCGGGCTACTGCTGCTCGACGAGGTGAGCTCGAGCGTAGACTACGAGACGGAGCGTTTGATGCAAGAGATTATCAGGAACGAGTTTAGGGATTATACGGTTATCGCTGTGAGCCATAGGCTCGATATGATTATGGACTTTGATACGGTAGTTGTCATGGATACGGGAAAGATTGTAGAGGTCGGTAATCCGATGGTGTTGGCTGGGAACGAGCAGACTAAGTTTGGGGAGTTGGTGAAGGCTGGGGCTAAATGAAGTAAATATCTAATACTTTATTCTACGCCGGCGAGATCGAGTTTTCTCTTCTAGACGCTATAGAATACATATTTTGGTGGAAGTATCAGACCCGCTGTAACCGCCCCTATCTTACGGTTGCTAGTGAGATACTTCGAAGTTAGGTATCTCCGTTTCTATAGAAAAAGGAAGGCCTAATTACTCTATTACCGATAAACCCAAATAACTACACTTAGACAGACAAGTTTGAATCAAACCACAACACAAAGACCTACACGCCTTCCCTCAAAGCCTCACAGGGGGCAACACGATCGCAAACCCAAGCCACAAGGATGACCAAACGAATCTATCTATCCTGAACCTTAGCGTCCGGGCAACCCTCGTAACAAACGTTCCCCCAGAGAGGCTCATCCGGCAGATAAACAGCGTCGCGGAATCCCGACGCCTCGATCGTGTAATCCGCCGGTCCTAATATTTCAAAGGATCACATCAAACTCCACGTCACGTGCAAGGGATGCAGGAGCCGAAGAGAACAATTCTAGCGCGTGCGGGTTAATGATAGCTTACCTACACGTCCCTACTGTAGAATACCTGAGGCGCATGTCGATTCCTTGTTTACCTAGGTACATAATAAAAAATCCGAGAACTTCACGACTAACTAGGGACAGCTGCTTCAGCTAGGTAGGTGCCTGATACCGGCTAGGAAGCGTAGCCCTGTTCTGTGCGCAATGAGTGTATTATCTAGACGAGGCTTGGATTGCTTGGGTGCGAGAACGAAACGCTGAATCCCCGCTGCGTTAAGCTAAGCATGGGGTTATAGTTCGACCGCTGCTTATACATAATCGGACGTCGGGCTGCGTAGATATCTAACATATCTGACACCAGATGGATTTCGCGTGCATTAATATAGTTAGGTAGTTAGCCAAGTAGCCAGTTAGTGAGTGCAGCGCATCGTCTGGAGGATCTATCCCTAACATAACCTAACGGCGAGGCGATATGTAGGTAGGTAGGTAGGTAGGTAGGTAGGTAGGTAGGTATCGTACCTTATACCGACCGCGCCGCAGTGCAGCAGGTTTCGTTCCCCGCCCCTCTTACAGCGCGAGTGGATTCGGAATATCTTGGTTTAGGGCCCTCGATATTCCAATTTTCTTGTTTTCGACCTGGACTTTTTATCTGCCATGTGGCTTTCATGTACTTACTATTGCTATAAGGCTGAGGAGTCCGGGGTAGATATTCGGTACACATACGGAATACACACATAGTGTTTAAGAGAGGGAGATATACGCCACGTCAGCTGAGACCTAAGCTAGGTAGTTCGCGTGTCTCGGTATATGAAGACACCACCTCCCCGCATTCCGCGGACGGTCCGCTATACATGATCGTTGCCGTGGATGGATGGATGGATGGATGGATGGAAGCTTCTAACCTACGAGGTAAGCTAGCGTAGCCTGCTTTGCCTCGGGTCACACGTCTGCGGCGTTTATTTTCTCTGTCGTCCTCCGTGATACGGCAGATCAGACAGCATGGATCCTATGCTGTAGGTATGTAAGAGACACACGAGTTGGGGGTCAAGTTCAAGCCTGTTTGGTTTGGGGGATGGATGGATAGAATAAGAGAAACAAACCCCATGTCTCGATTGATCAATAATACCTAGGTACGTTATGTCTTGGAGAAAAGATAGGTACCAGGGATATCCTGGACAGCGCCCCAGGCACCCACCCTATCAGGGCGACGCGTTGATTAGCCCGGCACCCACGTGGCGAGGGATAAGGTTAATTAATACCTTGCAAGTTGCGCGCGAATCCTTCGGACCCCCTGGCCTCCACGTCCCATCATCTCCTACTTCACTACCTACCTAGGTACCTAACATAATAGTGTATACCTATTTTATAGAGCTTACATGTATGTATGTATGAGGCATGTTACAACTTAGATAATTCATCAATAGCTTGTCTTACAAATAGATCGACTCCGTTCCTACGTCTAAAAATACGGGATGATCATGTCCGTCTGTCTGTCTGTCTGTCTGGCCTGCAGTGCGACGCTAAAAAGACTCAAATGCACGCAGGGAGGGTTGCAGCACACGACTAATTACGCTGTACATGTAGGATGTGGTGCGAGTTGAGCACAGCAGCGGTTTCGTATCTTGCAGTAGCAGCAGCATCACTATTACCCCATAACCTGCAAATGCCTACCTATATAGAAGTAGAAGTACTCGTCTACTGCGCCGCTCCGTTGCGGGTACGTCCAATACCTCGGGAAGAACTGATCTCACGCAAACAGCGGAGCCCTCCCTCTACCGACTCCAACTTCAGCTTCGGGTGGCCGGCAACCTAACCCCCTTCGATCGACCCCCACCAGATACATCTTCATCTTCACCTCCCCTCCAGCTATGAAGTTACCTAAGGTATGTAGATTAGGTACGCAGATCCGGGGGGGCCAATCTTAACCACCGTTGCTCAGAGATGAAACTAGGTACCTAGACGTGGGAGTGGAAGTGATAGTACGAGGGACCTAATAATAATTTGACAGGTATTACTTATAGGATTCGCTTCCTGGCTATAGTGGGATGGGATGGACTACAGCTCGCCCGTGGAGATAGATGTCTCTGTTCGATCTTCACGAAACATTCGCCAAAGGCCAGGTCGATCCCCAGATTTTCTAATGACCCTAGCTCGTATCCTCAGACGCGGTAATATATGTGTTGCTCATCGAGGTTTTCTCTAAGTGGGGAGACGACATGACGAGGTGGCGCATCGTTGGCGGTAATGTGTACGGATTACTTTTGACATGCATCTGGAATCCGACTTCGTCTAAAGTCCCATCTACTTCGTACTATATTATTACCCTGTATTATTACTACATATTAGTTGGACTTGCCCCCACCATAGGATGACTTCTTCAATTGGCGAATATATGCATGTAGCAGTCAGTCATTATCGACTACCTACATGACCTTAAGTTCCAATGGTAGGATCCGTAGCGCCGAATGATGTTACTCTAGGCGCTCTTGCTCTCTTGCTTGCTATCACTCTCACTACCTAAACATTCAGCTACGACTTGGCCGATAGCACAGTCCCAAGTTTTCAAACTAAGCTAACTATGCCCGACTTTTAGGAGGGTTATTGTGCCAGGCCAAGTTAAGGATATTTCCTAATTAGGCAACTCGTCTGTGCACCCACTAGTGCCTTTTAATTGTGGGTCCCAAGTATTGTAATAGGCTAAAATATGGGGCTAAGGTTTTAGCTGCATGACTAGTGTTAAGCTAGTTTTAATTTGGAAATTTTAGGTGGTACGTACCTTTGATAATGGTACGTACCTTTGATAAGAGATAAGGCCTTTGATAAGCTGATAAAAAGATAAGGCTTTTGATAAGAAAGGCTTTTGATAAGAGAGATAAGAGGATTGGGGAAAAAGGTGGCCTGTGCACCAGGTTTAGGCTAAAAATTTAACCAATCACATTAGGTGGCCA